TTTTTTTTTTTTTTTCACTGGGACGTATTCTCGAGGGCCGCCCCTACCGTATTATCCCCACTCTGTAAATGCAGATCGATGTAATGAGATATCCTCTCGACCATCTCACTGACGGTGCAATTTTTCCCAAAAAAGTCAACAAACTTTCCGTCCATATCCAGTAGGTAATGAATTATTGAATGATCAATGAGGTAATTATAATTATTTGCAACGGGGGGTGTGTCTCCACTTTGCTTCTCTACTTTGGCAGCCTGGTCATCCACGACATGCTCATTGTAATATACACGAAATAATTTTGCGACTTGTTTAATTTGTTCCTTGGTACCAGTCAGTCCTACTAACTTGTCGCTAAAGGAGTTGCAGTAATGCTTCACCTGGGCTAGCGTATCTCTCTTCGGGTCAACAGAAATAAAAACAGGGGTGATCACATCCCCATATTTTTTTATAATCTTTTCAATTACAATGGTTTGCTTCTCCAACTCTTGTGGACATATATCAGGACAATATGTGAATCCAAAATAAATTAAACAAAATTTTTTTTTAAAATCCTCATTTGTTACTACCTTCCCGTCATGATTGAAGAGGGTGAAATTTCCTCCTATCAATGGCATGCCAATATTCTCTACTTTTGTTAACCCAATTTGTCCTTTCCCTTTTTTCTTCTGTTCACATTGCAAGTAGTAGAAGTAGAGGATGGGAACGGACAAAGCTAAATTGAACCCTAAGCATCTCCATGTTAAGAAAACGCTTTTTTTTTTAATATCTTTTGGTGGATCCTTCCTCGACGTGGTGAAGTATCGAAGGCCATTTTCTTCCATACGAGTTTGGGTCCATGTACCCCTTGGGAGACCATCCACGCGTTTCACGCATTTGATGACACAGCAGCATGATGTGTAGGGGCCCCTTCCCCTCTGTGAGTGGAGCCTCCTTACATTCAGGGAAAAGATGCGCTTCATTTGGTAGGCAAATTATTGGTGGGTTTGAAAAATGGCAGGGTGTAGCAGTTTCGCAAAAATTGCCTTACACCTCTCTGTGCAGGTGACAAAATGGTACCCTACACGCAGAATGGAGGGGGCGGAAAGAAGCCAAGTGCATGCTGCTAGGACTGCGCCTATAAGCAAATATAAATACATACATATGCATACTTATATGTGGGCCCGTTTGCGAGGCCTATCAAACACCTCCTTCAAGGGGTCCCGTCCTCCCCTTTCGTAGTTGCCCTGTTTCCCTGTTGCCCCTATCGCGACAAGGGCATATTTTTCTTTCCCACACAGAAGGGAGCCGCGTCAAAAAGCGATCGAGACATAGGGAAAGAGAGAAAAAAAAAAAAAAAAATGCCAGTAATTGTTCTCCTTTCTGCCGATCTGTGGAGGTGTGTTTTTACGTGTAGCTGTCGCTTTTTCGCGCGAACTGCAATTGGTCCCTTTTTTTTTTTTTTTTTTTTTTTTTCTTTTCCTTCACTCATCACTTGGAATAATTTGGGAACACACCGGGGTGAGTATTCGATAGGAACATATGCACATGAACACTTGCTGGAGGAATATTTTTTTTTTTTTTTTTTTTTTTTTTTTTTGGGGGAATTTTTTTTTTTTTTTTTTTTTTTTTTTTTGTGTGACTCCGGTGGGGAGGGGCTTTTTTGCAGTGGGCCAATTTCGAACCCGCCTTTTGTGCACCTCGCGGGGATCGACTCCTAAGACTGGACGGACCGGACGAGAGTTACATAGCGCGCCGCTTTGTTCGGTGTATACATATGCCCGGCCATGGTGTGCAGCTTCCCCCGATAACGCAGCGAGAAAATCACTTTTCAACTCATCAGCGCAGTTTTGTTCACTGAAAAGTTGTTAATATATTTTTTTTTTTTTTTCCCAAGATGAGCTCTCTACGTGCATGTATTATATATGTATAATGTATGTATAATGTAATGTGTGATGGGCTGCCCCGATACATGCCTCCTGCGCGGGGACAGGCGCCCGCCGTTGTTGCTTCTCCAACCCCAGCAACTGTTTTTTTTTTCTTCGCATGCAACCGATTTTTCCGCCTTTATAATGTCATCGAGAAAAGGAGAGCGCATAAAATTATACATTATTAAAAATGCAGCTTTATGCACTGCACGTGTATATATATGTAAACGTTTTGTTTCTGTTTACTTCCATGCGTGGTTTGGCTTATCACCGCCTCAATGTGTTCCTATTTGCACTTGCAACCCTTAGGTTTTTTTTTTTTCTATTCGCCGATAAAAACCGGGGGGAAATAATAAAATAAGCAGCGGCCCCACTAGAACAAACGCATAAAAAGCACGCAACCGCACCTACTTTTCGGAGCACTATATATAAATAATATATACATATATATATATTCTTATATATATTATAATAAATATATGTCCTACGTTTTGTTTTGTATGAGACTTGTTAAACCCAAGCCCCGTCACTGCATATGAATATTATGTTGCGTGGCCAAAAAGCACCTATAATATATTTACAATTGTACGTACCAACTCCACCGCGCCACCACCTTTTCCCCTCTGCTGGGGTCATCATTTTTTAAGTGCATGTATTTATATATAGGCAACAACAAGGATAGAACAGAACCTTAATGTATAGAAAATGCCCCCGCCGTCCCCCTAGTGCGCTATAAACATAAACCCCTCATTTGTTCCTGTGTTAATTTAATTTCAAACGGTTTTCTATTTTCTCACGTATTTACGCGTCTGCCTTTTTTTATTTAAAGTAAATAAAATGTATATAAATATATACAACGCCTATAAAGCAAAGGGGTCACCTTTTTTTTTTTTTTTTTCAAAAAAAAAAAAAAAAATAAAATAAAAAAAATAATTAAAATAACCAAAAGGACGGGAAAAGCAACGGAGCCAACGATGCAACGGAGCAACCGAATATAACCTAAGCAACGAAACATTCAAAACTTACGACAGGTTAGAAACAAAACAGAATCAAACAAAATTCCAATCCAATGAAATCAAAACAGAACAACGTAGGATAATTTTTTTTTTTTTTTTTCTCTTTCCCTTCAAGATTGTTATTTGTTAAAGTTTTTTTACATGCACGCGTGGAGGGTATTTTTGAGAAAATCCTGCGAATTGTTTTTCTAGAGAATTTTTTCCAACATTTTTTTGAGGAACTTTTCTGATCAAACATTGTTTGAAGATTCGTTTCCTTTTTATTATTATTTTGTATTTATTTATTTTTATTTTTTTTTTTCACACTACGGCTGCGCCTAGCCGCTGATTCCTTTTACGTGCCTTTTTTTCTTTTTCCGGAAGAACTAGAGGCATTGCCTTGGCTCTCTCTGCTCCACCAACCACGGGACGCATTTATCCCCTCATGCAGATTCGCCTTCCCTCTGTTCGCAAGCGTCTAGTGCTTTTCGCCCGCGCGAATGACAGATTTGCGAAGCTGTAGAAGAGCCGTCTAGCAACAAAACGTTACACCAACCGCGTCATACCTGCGCGCCGTACCCAGCAGTACAACCAAGCCTACCTCTCTTGTCCTGCTTCACCCATACCCTTAACACACGATGAAGATCCTGAAAAAGAAGAAAAAGGGGGAGACACAAATAGTCCCCGATGAACGCTACAGAGAGTTAGATAGCCACGTACAAAATGAAGGTAAGGCGCAGGCGATTTAAAACGAAGGGTCCATCTGACCAGAGTACAAGACTGCACCCCGCAGGAAAGCAGTCTGAAAGACCGCTACCGCTACCCCTACCCTCGAAGGAGACATTTTACTCGAGCCGCTCCATCAAATCCGCGTCACTAACTTTAACCTACTCCCCCCGCAGACGAAATACCAGGGGATGCCCCCATCGGAAGAAAAATCCTCTATATTTTAAAACTGATTTACAATGAAATTCGAGAAAACATTTCCATTTACCTCCTGATCATCCTTTACCTATGTGTATGCGTTATGAATAAAATTATGGCCAAAAGAACCCTCAAGAAAATAGGAAACTATAGCTTTGTAACTTCAGAGACTCACAATACGATATGCATGGTCGTTTTCTTTACCTTGTATTTTATATTTGGTCGCCGCGTCACATCTGCCAAGGTTAGTAAAAACGCACATGGGGTGTGTGTTCTTCCCCACGAGTCCCATCATCAAATCGCTCTTCCTCATATATACATATATACATATATACGTATATTGGAATGGGGCGTGATGGGGGGACACCCTGAAGGGCAGAGGCGGGACAGATCACACCACAGAGTGGATCCCCCACTGATGATGGTGTCTCAAATACATCAAATCTCGCGTGTCCCTTTATATATATATATATATATATCCCTTCTTCACCATTTTATACTTCCCCCTTTTTACGTCAACCCCACAGGACAAACACCGAAATTTTGGACTTCAGTTTTTGCTCATCTCGCTGCTGGACGCCTGCTCAGTTATCATTGCGTTCATAGGTAATTCACACGGGGGGAAAATAGAAGACATGGTTTAACCGGATAAATGATGCTACTTTGTGTTTGTTAAACGGCGTCTTTGTTTATCCTCTCCTCTGCTTTAATGCCCCACACCTTTGTTTCACTTCTATCCCTTTCACGCCTGTTCCCCTTCCCCCGCTCTTTAGGCCTCACAAGAACCACCGGAAATATTCAGTCCTTTGTCATGCAGCTCAGCATTCCAATAAATATGTTTTTCTGCTTTTTGATTTTGCGATACAGGTAAGGATAGAGGTGATACGGGTTTGTACAGATGCCACCACCCCAAACCACACATTTCCCGTCCTCATGGACACCTTCCCATATATGCTATAGAACCCCCATTTCACTTGCACATTTCGCGTGCACATTTCTCATTTTCCTCCTTTTTTTTTTTTTTTTGAACCACCCCCCCCAGATACCACCTATTCAATTACATTGGTGCATCTATCATCGTCGTGACCATCGCAATTGTGGAGTATATTTTGTCGTTCGAAACACAGGAAGAGAATTCAATTGTCTTTAACTTGGTGTTGATTGCCTCGTTGATTGTAAGTTTTGGGAGGCCCTGCAGACGATCCAGCACCTACTGATGACAGGGACTGCTGGCGTAGCACTTGTTTACCCGTCGCTGCCCCCCCCCACCACCGATGTACACATAAATGTACTCATCGCTGCACACACTCACCACCCCACCCTCTACAGCCTGTAAGCTTTTCCAACATGACCAGAGAAGTTGTCTTCAAGAAGTACAAAATAAACATCCTGCGCTTGAATGTAAGGACATCTGCTGCCTCCCCAAAAAAGGGGGGAACCAAATTAAGGGCACATATATCTACTACACATATTCGCACTCGCTTAAGAGGGGCATCCCTTGTCTTACCCCAAGCAGTGTGTGGAAGAGTGAACCAATTAGCCCGAACATTGCTTCCCTTTTTTTTGCTCCCGTTTTTGCCCACATTTTTACCGCATTTTTTTTTCTCCCATTACAGGCCGTAGTTTCCTTCTTCCAAATATTCACCTCCTGCCTGATGCTTCCGATGTACACCCTCCCATTTTTGAAGCAAAGTAAGAATGGCTGGCCAATCCTGGCGGGGCATACCATGTTGTGCTTGTCCACATCATCCATGTCGCCTCACAAAGCAGACGCCAATTCATGGGCCACTAATTTTTTACTTGCACCTCTCTTTTACATCGCTCACCCCTTCAGTCAATTTGCCCTTCTCGGAAATCGGAACGAATATAAAAAATGGATTCAGATGTTTGTTCCTTGGACAAAACACCATCGTGGAGGTATGCACAAGGAGAGGATCTCTGTGTCTGACGTTGTATTTTTTTTTTTTTTTATTTGCAGATTTGTTTAGTGCACATTTGGAGGAACGAGTTATCCATTCGTGCTGTTTTCCTACAACTGCTCTGTTTTGCTTCATTTTTTTTTTAATTTTCCTTTTTTTTTTTTTTCACCTCTAGAACTGTGGATTGGGAATGGCCAAGATGTGCGATGATTGTGAAGGAGCATGGGTAAGGAAGGCGTAACGAGATGAATTAAAAAGCACCTATTATAATCTGAATGAAGTAAAGGAGTATCACACCCTGCAGAATCTCTCACCAATTTGACCATTATGATAATTTTTTTTTTTTCCCCTATCTCCGCAGAAAACATTCATAGCATATTCCTTTTTCAACATTTGCGACAATTTAATCACCAGCTTTGTAAGTACAAGAGGGGACCGAAACAGATAAAAAAGACGCCCCATGGTGGAGAGGGGTGTTATCTTTCTTTTACAAAAAATGATGTGTGTCTTTTGTGGACTCTACCTGTGCATTACTTATGGTTATTAATGCCTCCATAACCCATTTTTCATTTTCTCTTTTTATTTTCCCCTCCTGCAGATAATTGATAAATTTTCAACCATGACCTACACCATCGTCAGTTGCATACAAGGACCAGCAATAGCCATTGCTTACTACTTTAAATTCCTTGCGGTAAGGGCTCCCCTCCTTTTTTTTTTTTTTTTTTTTTTTTTAGGACTCTATAATTGCACTCCTCCATTTTTGTATCCCCTTATGTTACACACCTATCTTCCCTTTTGTTCACTTTTCAGGGAGACGCCGTCATGAAACCCCGCATGTTAGACTTTGTCACTTTGGTAAGGAGGAGCAAATGATATATCGCACGTTCACCCTTTTATGTTTGGTCAATGTATATGTGTTCCCTCGCCTATGCAAACGAGTATTCATTTTTTTTTTTTTTTTTTTTCCTTTTTCAGTTTGGCTACCTCTTCGGATCAATCATTTACCGTGTTGGAAACATAATTCTTGAAAGTAAGGCAGCTTAACATTTTTCCATGCGGAGTGAAATTCCACCCCGCATGGGTTAGAACGTTTCACAATTTTGCACATGCTTTTCACTACCGCTTCGTATCCCGCATGTACCCCACACTCATGTACACCCAATTCACCCCTTTAATGTAGAAAAAAAAATGATGGAAGAAGATGACAATGACGACGATTCCGAGGGAGAGCTCACCAATGCCGAATCGATTATAACAAAATGAAGCCTTTGGCGTAACCAAGAAGAACCGGTAGGGGTTCAAGTCCATTCACGCTTAGAATATTTGCACTCTGTATAAAGTGCACCCACCCACCCCTCACCTGCTACAAATCATGTCAAGACTCTGTCACCCAATGAAGTTAAATGCAGCCCCTTTGATTACGCTGTGCACATACGGCGCGGGGTTTTACCCCATTTAATTAACCCCCCCCAAATTTTTATCTCACACATTTTTATGTGTGGGGACCAACTGACTTTTCCACTCTTCTCTTAATTGTCTAACCCGCTCATGATGAACCAACCACTTTTTTAGTATGACATTTGTAAATCTATAGTACCTTGTTGTCATTTTTTTTTCTTTACTCATGTTTAATTTTTTTTTTTTTTTTCTCTCATTTTTAATTTTTTTTTTTTTGCTCATTTTTAATGTTTTTTTTTTTTTCCCCACCTCCTCTGTCGTACTCCCATTTCATCTCACGTTTGACCAACTTGTCTATCCCCTTAGGGAGCATATTAAAAACACGATTATATAAAAGAAAAAAAATGGTGTCGATTGCACCAAGTGTGAGAGGGTGTTGTAAACACAGGAAGGGAGAGAAGCCTCTCCAACTGTGGCAGATTTAAACCCGCTTTCTTTCTCCACTGTCGCATTTTTGTAATTCATTAAAATA